AAAAAAAATACAAAGAAGAAACTTATTACTTACTCGGATGGAGTGCGGCTTCTAGAGTGATCCAAGTTGAAAAGAAATGCTTGGATTCATATAAAAATCTTCAGCGAATGTTGTCAAGCTCGTCACAGAAAATTGCTAAGATCCAGCCAAGCTGAGATTGTGCCTCTAACGATAAACGGTATCCAATAACCAGTACTAAACAGTGACACAATCACTTTGCACTTTTCTACGAAAAATCCCAATAAACGGAACACAGATGCGTTAATAAAATGCAGAAAAATGCGAGCCGATTCAGTTCTCGAGTCGCTGACCACACACCCAATAAATTCCTTTTTCTAGAACCTCATTTTTTGCTCTCTTCATAAAAGAATCGATAAATGTAAAACATATGTACAGCATTCGTATTTAAAATAGGAAATACAATCCTGGTTGCCTACTATTCAAACCTTAAATTTTAATTTTATTAGGGAATAATTAATATACCAGGTAACTCGAAATTAACATCTAATATCACGCAAAATAAATAAAAATAAATGATTGAGAATACCCATCATCAAATTATGAACGTTACAAGCGGGAGTTATGGGTTGATTTCCTTCATTTTTAAATGTCGAGTAAAAAATTTTTTTTCCGATTTTCTGTCTTTATTAAGCCTTCCGAATACGTGGTTAAAATTAATGACATTACGACTGAATCACCCTGTATACAGATATTTACCAAACTAGTTAAATTAAATTTAAATTAAAACTAAAAAGGTCTTATCACTTTTAATAAATCCTTTATAAAATCACCTGTAATTTAATTCTTTACTGAACATTGACATATATAAATAATGAAAATACATTGTTCTTTTTGCTAGTGAATTATTTTGTTAAACTTTTGAAGTACCCAAATTATGTGTTAATAAAAGAAAATAAATGGTAATCAGATATTTTAATAATTTGCTTATAATACAGATATATACATATTTACAAAACTATATTAAATTTAAACTAACACTAACACTAAAAAAGTTTGTCACGTTCAGTCAATCCGAGGGGGGCGGGGTCGAGGAGCATCTGTAACAGAAATAAATAAATTTAAAAATATATATACATACAAAACTATACACATACAAAAGAAATTACTACCAAAAATTCATCAAAATATGACTTTTAAATTTATATAGAGTTCAATTTTACTTTTAACAATTAAAAATGGATGAATCATTGATAATTAAGTTTAATTATCTATCTAAAATTTACTTATTCGCCTTACCTGGTAAGTTGAACATCTTCTCTGGTAAGCCTTCCGCAAAACCATCCATATATGCCATGGTGGCATTCATATGGTTAATATCTACCGTCAACTCCTCGGCGATTTCATCCAGTACTTTGCGATAGTCATTAAGTTTACCTAAATTTTGCATGGCTGTTTGACTCTAAATCTCACCTCGTTAATAAATTCGGCTTCTTTTCTCCTCACGTACTGTTTAAAATCGCCGTACCAGACGTTTTTGAATTCTTCAAGCTGGATGTGTTGGAGGGCCGCTTTCGCTCGTATCGACTCAACAACATCATCCAGCCCGTCATTTCGTCTTGGAGTTGATGTGATCGTTGGGCGGAAGGTTGGACCCTCATCGTCGACGGGCCAAGATTTCAACACGATTTTTTGGAAATTGTGGCGAAGTTCCCTCGTCGACGGAGCGTTCCACCGAAGTGCTGCTAAATGCCAAGATCGGAGTCGTAGCACGCTTTTTCGGAGGAGATGCTGCCGAAGGTCCTTCGTCGCTGGAGCGTACCATCGAAGTGCTGCTGGACGCTAAAATCGTGCTCCCAGCAGGCTTTTTCTGCGGAGATGTTGCCAAAAGCCCCTCGACAATGGATGTTTGCAACGACGATGCGGATATTTCCTGGCGTATGGTTCTGTCGGAGGAAACTGTGTCGCTCAAAATAATGATTTCCTGCACCGCTTGGCCGGCCCGGTTGGTAATAAAATTTTGGTCTACTCTCCTATCGAACGATGGCACCCATTCATCATCGGTCAAGTCGTCGTCACTATCACGATGTCTCAAACTTAAAACGTTTTTTGAATTGTTTGCCATGTTTGCACTGCGTAAACTTGTAGATATAAACTGAACAGCAAAGGCGGGGTATGATATTTATACTAACAGGCAATGTGGAACTGGTACCCACGCCGACTTACAGTTGGAGGTGGTAACCCACGCTACTTTACTTGTTTCTTTGTTTGAATGGAATGTTGCATCGATAAACTGCATCGCCAGATGCTACAAGACCGGTTTCTTTGTTTCGCTGCAAGTTGCTTTTGCAGACATAGAAATATGTATGGAATGTGGTCCCAATGTTCTCGAGCAAACTACATTGTACAATGGCTGCAGTAGAGGTGGGAATCAAAAATTAGTTTCTGCATTATACAGGGTGTCCGATAACTACGGGGAAAAAATAAAGGGTTATATAGAGCAGGTCAAACGAGTGCTAGTACTTCATATAGACTTTTTACCTAGGTGCCATTGTTGAGGAGTTATTGTTACTCAAAGTAAGAAGTTGAAAAATGAATATTGCCCATAATTTCTAAAGGGTTACTTTGATTAACTTGAAATTTGGCGGATAAAAGCAACTCATTCAAATGTATATATGTACATTTAAAATTGAATCAAATATTTTTTATTATACAAGGACGGTCGAAATTATGTTCTAAAATTTACGCAACTTTGACAGAGCTGTCAAATTTGACATTTCGCCCTCGCAGGCAGATAGCCCTGTTACTTTTCTATAAAAAAGGTATACTTCATGACTTATGAAAAAATTAACAGTTGTCAAGGTAATTAAATTTTTGTATTTTGTGTATAGCCACAACCGGGGACACAACGCAACAGAAAAAAGTTAAGAATGAAACTATGGATTAAAGGAGGTTACTTCAGTAAATGCTCGATATGTCCTCCATCTAGTTAAATGCACTTCTTATTCTTTTAAGATTATTTTGTTGCACTCTAAATAGCATTTGTGGATTCTGTTTAATTTCATTACAATGTATTCTTGCCATCAACTCTTCTCTTGTATAAACCGGAGTTGAATACACCAATTCTTTTAGGTAACCCCACAAGAAGAAGTCAAGGGGGTTAAGATCTGGTGACCTAGGTTAATTGTTAATTATTTCAGATCCGATTGAAAATTGGAATTCTTCCAATCCCGGAGCTTCTAAAAACCCTGAACGAGAAAGTAAGTTTTAATTACTTATTTCTTTATCTAGACGTACGTAATTAAAAAACATTATTATTGATTACTTTTGTTGTATGAATAATAATAATATTATTTGATTTATACTCTTAATATATATTTTTAAATATATGAAGATTTTATATTTCAGCTGAAAATTTCGATTCACCCACCTACGTTCAGGACTCCGAGACCGAAAGTATGTTTTACTTACTACATTGATAAGGAAATTACAGTTTTTTCATTATTTTAGATTGGGATAGTGACAACTATCTCACTTATAAACCAAATATAGAAAATTTGAATGTTATACGGGACATACCACCACTGATGCCAAAAGCACAAAGGACGGACTGGAGACAGAAGGAAAGAATTAGATTGTCAACAATTAATAAATAGAATCATTTTTTTAATTTTTTCGTTTACAAATGTTTAACGATTTTAATATTCAAGGGGTTTGCTGCCGCCGCCAGTGCTATAACCACAACTGCCGCCGCATTTTAATTTTAAATATCTTTGTATAATATCAATAAAAAATACATTCAAATTTTAATGTGTTTCATTTTAAATAGTTTAAGTTAGTGAAAATTTGACTAGAAACTACTATTATTAGAAATTTAAGGCAAACTTAGTAATATTTTAATAAAAATATAAAGAGTAAATTCTAGTATTGGTACTTTCTAAAGGTACGTGTATGAGGCAAACGAGGAAATAACACATAAGGGGGAAATAACCTCTTTTTTTGTCGCTTATTTTTTTTATTACATTTTTCGAAATTTCACATCTAACTGATTGTGAGTTCGATAGCACATATTTTCACCTCCCGATCTTATGTAAAATTCTCCGCTACCACCACTAGTGACTTACAAAATAATCGTAAAAAATGTTTAGTACCATCAGTTCATAGCTCTTTATTACCGCTTTAGAATAAAAAAAGTTCACCTTTCTATCTGCTCAAATAACAGAGAAAACTTAAAAGAATTTTCCCTTTTTCGTCTGTACCACCCGAATCGTGGGTCTGACGCCGAACATTATATGAACTTTTTTTCTCTACTCGACATACAATACAACATACTAAAATTTGAAGAAAATCGTACGATTCGTTTTGTTTTTTAAATTTTCAATTTCTATACAAAAATTACAAAATTTGGTAAGGTACTGTAACTTTACTTATAGTTTTATTTCACCCAAATATGTTATAGGTAGGTATAGGTAAAAGGCAAAGCCAATCAATGATATATGAACTATAAGAGCCAATGGAAAAATTTCTATGATTTCCTTGAAGATTTCAAAATTTTCTTTTACCCACCGGATTACTGTGACAATATGGAAGAAGTCATTAGTAAAACATACCAGAACCGTCAGACCACCGCCAAAGACTTCATTTTGGACATGCAGACCATGATACGACGCCATGGAGGTTTCTCTAGAGAAAGAGAACTAACGTGCTTTTATCGACGGCTAAGACCAGAGTACCGACAGTATATCCGCAGAAATGCTATTAGCAATGTAACCGAGCTATTACAACAGACCTACGAGTTTGAACAAATCCAACGGGATATGGATAAGTCCGATAAACTGAGTAAAAATGTTCAGCCAATTGAGATGTCCAGAACTACCGTTCCTGCTGTACCGCGTATCATTGAAGTACCTGGACGTGATACAAACCGCCGACCCATGCTCGCACTCCACCTTACATGCTGGAGATGTGGAGAACAAGGACACACCCGATTTAATTGCCGACAACCACCGAAACTGTTTGGTTCACGATGTGGACGACAGGGAGTTCAATAGCGAAATTGCCGATGTACCGCATACCAGGAAAACTCCCGAAGAACTGGGCCACGAGGAAGCCAAATCAGTTCTCGATTAGAGAGTTCCAACTGAAGCCACAATTCTGATTATTACCCCATTAACGCCACCGACTCCGTCTGTGTGGATAACCGGCTACGTGAAGTAGTAACCATAGGCAACAGAAGTTATTATGCGTTGGTCGATACTGGATCAGTCTGATCCTGTATTAGCCAGAAAATTGCTACTTACTGCCAGCGCAGGAGAACCATAATCCGAAGTCATAATTTTCTTTAGTTGAATTGTAAAAGGAGGTGATGCTGTATTAAAGGACTATCCACAGAGCAGGCATACCCCTTGTTAGGAAAAAAATGTATTAACTTTTTTTTTCGAAGAGAGGGAGAAGTGTAACGAACCTTTATTTATTTATTCGTTAAGAATCCGATGAACTATTATCTTTTCCTATGTTAGTAATGTAAGCGTTGAACTCTGTATTTATTGTGGGTCTGCGTACTAACATGCGACGAACCGTTGATCTATGTCACAAATCGGCTATAAAAGGCCGACCTCCCGCACATGAGTCAGTAGTGTTGATCGGCAATTTTCCTCAACACGAAGTCCGCCTCCCCCTTGGTATTGGTAACGGTCCTACCAAGGTTCCTATCTCCTTATCCTTCCGTCTGAGAGCAGAGCTTTGGTCCCTGTCCCGCCTGTTCTCAGCACTCTCCCTATCCTTCCGTCCGGGAACAGAGCGTCGGTCATTTTATTCCCGCCTGTTCTTGAAATCCTGTAGCCCTGATACTCCGAGGGTTGGTCCCCGTCCCTCTCGGAGTTCCTTACTCGCCCGTTTTTCCGAATAGCCGTCAACCTGAGTTGAACACCGAATCGAGGGAAGCTTAGTTTTCCATTTTCCGAAGTTTCACCGAATGTTAGTACCAACCATCACCGATTTGTCAGTGGTGAATTTACTTATTTATTTTTTTTTTAAATAAATGGGAGTACATGTATTAGAAAAAGTGGTTTCTTTTCTAATCAAGACCCCTGGTGTACATTTTTCTGCACTGCTGTTACCCGGACGGCAACTTTTTGTGGGACATACGGGTCTCACACTGAAAGTTCGTCACAAGTTATAGTGCTTGGAAACCACTACTCGCTTCACGAGACATTCCGCCCGAGGTAGCCCAACCTGATCCTGTTCGATAGCCCCCTGCATCGAAACAGCGGTAAAACTCCAGGCTCCTTTTGAGACCTGCGTACCGTCCGGGGTTGACCAGCTCCGACGAAGACCCTGTCTCCAATTGTGCCGGCTCCATCGAGAGACCCGCACCTCGGAAGTGCGGTACACATAGGCTCCAACGAGTCCTATCAAACAGACTACTTCGAGTACTATAAATCCGAGGCAACTTTCCTCGTCAAATCTCTAGGCGGTCCCTAGTTGAGGCAACCTTCCTCGTCATACCCCTACGAGACATTATCTTTGCGTCCTACGAGTCCAAAGCTATAGTACGCACGTCATTGTGGGTGGCGTACTCGAAATTTTAAAGAAGTCGTCCTTGCTTCTCAGGGTTCCCTCGAGAGACCCACCTTTCAGTAGAATCAGTGTTTCTACAAGACTTCAGAGTAAAAGAGCTTGCTCTGACATTGTCGTACGGGATAATCTAGTGCTACGAGGATTGGTGCCCTCGAAGGTACAACTAATAAATTAGATCGTGATTCGATGATCAAGACCTGGACGAGACCTCGTCTCCATCCGGAGAGACCAGCGGTTACACGGACTGCCCTCACGCCTGTTTGCCGGCGAAAGATCTCCCGACACTCCGGGTGAAAGAGGAAATGGCCTTAATCCCCAACGCTATCTCGATGCTGTGTGGAGAGTCTGAGGGACCGAAGAAGGTGGTAGCTCGCGGAAGTACGCGGCATGGCGCAGCCACAGCGCCGTACGCGCTGACGTCCGCTGCTACGCGAGTTACTGATACCACCTCTACCACCCCTCACGACTCACCCATGGAGGCGAGTAGCACTCACGAGTTGCCACGAAGTGGGTCACTCACAGATACTCCGGACGAGGTTATACCTACGTAC